GAACTTCCCAACGCTGATTGAAGCGCGTCCACCATAGACTTTGTATGTAAACCTGAGGCTCCTGATGCTGAAATCATGTTCGGTGTGAACGCAGCATAATAATCTTCTATGCAGCTGCTTCTGTCGGCTGCCATCTGCTCCAGTGCTTGCTGGAAAGTCCTGGCTCAATGAGGCCAAAAAAAAACAAAAAAAAAAAAACTACAAAAGTCCCTAAAAGCAGCCATGTAATTTTAAAACGTAAAGACCTGGAGGCTATTTGACCTTTGGCTGAACCTGGTAATTCTGTCCATAAAAATAACAAACAGTAGTGAAATGCACACCTTGGCAGTGCCCACCTCATGCATCTTTTAAGCCCCTAACATTTAGTTATTTTTATTTCTTTCACACTGTGCTCCTTGTTGTTGTTCTAAAGTTTCATTGGTTTGCTTCTTTTCAGGTTGGTTCAGTCAACTTTGTGTATACATTTTTTTAATGGGATTAATTGCCACTGCCTCTCTGCCTCCGTCATCTGGCACTCAGAGTCAGAGTAGGAAACACAGACAAGAAAATAAGGAAAGTCAATCATTTCCTTCGTAATTTTTCAATTTGGTTCTGAAGAGTGGACTTTGATAAAACACTGCAACAATCACCCTTGACGGCTATTCTTTACAGGCATCTGACTAATTCTGTAAGGCTGCACTCAGATGCTCAACTCATGCCAACATATTCATAATTAAGGAAAATTGCTGACAATGAACAGAGGGCTACGATTAATGCCAGTGATGTATGTTGGGYCTTCAGTGTTACACATGTGGCTTTCCTAACTGGGTTAAATCACAACAGTAACTTRTGATGCACACCTGCTCCCGAGGAAACTGTGCAGAGTTTTAAACTTAAAGTTGATGCCCACTGTTTGTGTTTTCTGATTTATTCTTCACAAATGTTTCAAATTCGTAGCTTAAGGGAAACATTTTAGATGAATATTTGTTGTATTCAACGATTATAGTCAGTTGGTGTTRTCTGGGTCTAGGTGTGGCAAAGTCAGTTTACATCACTAAGTTTGTAGTTCTGGACATTGGATTGATTTCCTTTCATTTCTGTAACCTAATCCTGACCTTTATCCTAACTTAACAGCACCTGTAACCCTAACCCATTGATGCATTAGAGGATTTTTTAAATTTATTCATTTCATTTAAAAACAAAAAACAATTTTAATACACAACAAAAAATRTACAAATCCAAATTGAAATGAAAGGAGGCAAAAAGAAGAAGAAATCTTATAATATCTGCCCCTTTTTTCCATAATTAATTTCAAGCGATAATAAAGAAACAAAACAAAATAAAAGCTTCAGTTCCTTCTCAGACAACAACTTTTCTTTAACAAACTTATTTTTATCATTCTCTTAAAGAAATAAATTGAACCAACATTTTTATAATCACTTTCCAGATTATTCCACAATCTTATTCCTTGAACCGAAGTACATCGGTCCTTCAAATTTGTTCGAATTTTAGGTTTAATAAACATCTCAAGTCCTTTAAGATTATAAGAACTTTCTCTCTTAACAAAATATTACGGAGCCCGCGAGCGGACACGGGAGATTTTTTTCTTTTGCGTTCCCACGCAATAGTATTGCGTTACCTYGCAATATTTTGCGTTCCCTCGCAAAAGTAGTTTATCACTGTTGTGCCTGCCGGTTTATTAACAAACTCACATGTTCACCATTAGCGAGTTAGCCTACTGCTGTAATTCAGCTTCAGAATGAATATATCACACAGCCACACATGGAAGTGTGTCATATGCCGATATTTTAGCACAGTACAGCCACGCAACATCGATGTCAATTTCATGAACATGTGGCGACACATCCTGTCCTGCATCAGGACATCCTGTTTTGGTAACCGGATATTTCAAAATAAAAGTCTGATTTAATTCAGTTCATATACAATACAATGTTTTGCATGGGAAAGCAAAACAATATTGCGAGGGAAYGCAAAGGTACTGCGTGGGAAATCAAAGGGAAAAAACCCCCCCGTGTCCCCTCGCGGGCTCCGTAAAATRTAACTGGATGTTTAAAGGCAACATTTTTTATGAGTCTTATACATAAGCTGCAAAATACTATAACCAACCAACTCACAAAATTTTAATTATTTTAATTTACAAAATAATATATTCAAAGGGTGACTGTAATTGTGAGGATCTGTCTTTTTGTGTTTTTGTGTTTTTCCTGTGTTTCCACCCTTCAGTTATCCTCAGTCAATTTCCTAGCCAGTTATCAGTTAATCATCCTCACCTGCTCAGTCATCCCCAATCAGTCCTGCCACCAGGTGTTCATCATTTCCTCATTCCCTCTGTTAGTTTAAATACTGGTCATTTTCTCAACACCCTCGCTGATAGCACATAGTATAGGGGTAAAAGGAAATGAAAAAGCAGATATAATGGCAAAGAAACAGTTCAAAGTGAGATTAACATTACAATTAAGACAAGTAAATCTGAAGCAAAAAGCATAATTAAAGAAAGACTGAAGAAACAATGGCAGAAGAGATGGGAGATAACAAAGGGAGGTGGTTTTATAAGATCCAAAGGGTGGTAGGAGAAACGAGAGCTAGAAAAAGGACCAGAAAAGAAGAGAGTGATAACAAGGTTGAGATTTGGACATACAGGACTTATATTTACACTTTTTGCAATACAAAAACATWATACAGGGAAATGTGATTATTGTGGACAAAATGAAACCATAGAACGTTAAAAAGAATGTCAAAAGTACAAACAAGAGAGACAATTTATAATAAGACAGTTCAGAAACATTAAGGAAAGGTTTGACATAATGAGACACATTACAAAGGAATTTAGGGAGCAAACACACAAATCATGATACAGTTTTTGAAAAAGAAAACATTGTTTAACAGAATTTGAGTTGATAGTAGTAATTTTTTGTTTTATTTATTTATTTCCTTTTGAATAGATAGATTTGAAAATGTAAATAGAAATACAGTACAATAATTTTAGTAGGATATAAATATTAGTGAAATAATCTTGAACCACACTCCATACCAGTAGGTGGCGGTAATGCACACCTTCAGTTTATTGCCAACCGCCATAAAACACCACAAGAAGAAGAAGAAGAAAGAAGAACACCCTCGCTGATTCATTGTTTGACGTTCATCAACTGTTTGGTTCTCCTCCTCGTCTCTCTGTTGTTCTTTTAGTTTTTATAGTTTGCTGCCACGTCAGCTTTTTGTTTTATTTTTTATAATAAATATCACTTTTTGCAAAACTTATTTCTCCGACTGGATTTGGGTCCATTCGTAGTTAAACCGTAACAGCAATGTTTTCTGGTGATAATTCTTATGGCTCTTTTCTGTAAAATAAAAATAGGATTTATGATTGTTTTACATACTTTACCCCAGACTTCAATACAGTAAATGAAGTGTGGAACAATTATTGTATTATACAATATAAACAGAGCTTTATCACTGCATAACTCCCTTACTTTGTACTATACTTCGACAGATTTAGCTATTTTTGTTCTTAAGTAATTCACATGAGCTCTCCATGTCAGCCCTTCATCAATGATAATGCCCAAAAACTTTACCTCACTGACTCTACTAACCTGAACACCATCAACTTTAAGTGGAAAATCAATAGTTTACTTTTTATTACTGAATATCATGTAATTAGTTTTATCCAAGTTTAGCGACAATTTGTTAAGTTTGAACCATGTTTGTATTTTTACAAATTCTGTTTGTATCCTATCCAGCATCTATATCTCTACCCAAACAATAATAAAAATGTCATCAGCAAACAGAACACATTTAAATAACCTTGATACATTTACTAAATCATTTACATACAAAATAAACAGCTTTGGTCCAAGTATAGAACCCTGAGGAACTCCCACATGTGATATTACTGAGTTCAGAACTTATATCATTAATTTGAACAAACTGTTTCCTATTTTTCAAATAAAGAGTTACCCACTGCAGTGCTGGTCCTCTAATACCATATTTATTTAGCTTTTCAAGGAGAATTTTGTGATCATTTGTGTCAAAGGCTTTCTTTAAACCAACAAAAACACTAACACAGTACTGTTTTCAACACCCCTGTTGGCTCCCATCAGGTTTCTGCTTATTGAAGTGTTTGTGTGCCTTTTCCATGAGAGCCATTGATGAGGAATTGTCAGCTCTAAACCCATACTGACTGTTACTTAAAATATTTTGTTTATTAATAAATTTGTCTAATCTGTTAACAAATAATTTCTCTAAAATCTTTGAAAACTGTGGTAAGGATATTGGTCTGTAATTGTTGAACATACATTTCTCACCATTCTTGAAAAGAGGGATTACTTTAGCTATTTTCATATTGTCTGGAACTATTCCTGTTGTAAATGATAAATTGCATATATATGTAAACGGTTCAATCACGTAACTCATTATTTCTTTTACAAACATCATGTCCATGTCAACCCAGTCTTTTGATTTTTTGCTTGCAAGATTTTTAACAATACTCAGTATTTCTTCTTTGTCAGTTCCATCAAGAAAAATACTATTGGTACAACCCATCACTGTATGATTTACATTGTTATCTACTTTTGGTATTTTCACTGCAAGACTGGGGCCAACATTTACAAAGTAATGATTAAACCCATTTACAATTTCATTCTGACCATGTAATTCATTTCCATCCTTTACAAAACATTGTGAGATACCTGAATTTTTTGTTGTACAACCCCTGGCAAAAAGTATGGAATCACCAGTCTTGGATGAGCACTCATACAGACATTTCATTCTGTAMAACAAACTCYGATCAAAAACATGATACAATAATAAGGTCATTCCAAAGAGCAACTTGTTGGTTTTCAGGAACACTCAAAGAAACGAAGAGAAAACATTGTGGAAGTCAGTGAATGTTACTTTTATTTTCCAAAGACAGCACAGAATAAAGTTTTTTATACTCTCTGTGTTCATCTCTTCCAGTTGTCCTGCAGGCCTGCTGCTTGGTCCTGTATCCCATCAAGTTTATTGAAAGCATCAACCTGAGGATCTATCACGAGTTCAACTGGGGCTATGGCCTGGCCTGGGGAGGAACCATCTTTTCCTTTGGTGGGGGGATACTCTACTGTCTCAACCCCAAAAACTACGAGGAGTACTACTGATCCCTAAGCCAAGGACTTTATAGTCATGTAGAGGGAAGGTAAACTAGGAGAAAAACGGGTATGGGTCTTATTACCAGCTTAATTYCCATGAACTGTTGGGACTATCAGATGTTGGAGCTCAGCCTCTAACAGTACGGACACAAGCCTTGGAGTCAGTGTTTTAATTATTATTTGTAAAACAGACTTTGAAGAACTGATGTACCAAAAGATGGCAGCTACAAGTTTRCCTACATGTTTAATTTAAAGAAAACAAAGGGTATTATGTTCAGGCTTTTGGCTCTTATTAGAAAACTTGCACTGGAGTTGAGGATGTTAATGTACTTGTATGTGTATCTTCACATGTAAAACATCCAGCGTTTAGGCTTCAAGCTCCATCGGTGGATCATAATTAATGCTTTACGTAGCTGGGTTTTTTCTTTTTCATGGAGTTTCTAAACTTTCACAAGGACACGGAAACAGATCAGATGCTTCAGTTACACCTCATAACTTTTTCGGAAGACAGATCCATCCTAGAGGGGGAACGTGAAAATAAAAAGACACCCACTCAATATTCTGTTATCGACCCACTTGTCTGTTTCCACAGCAACCCACGGGGCACGCACATGCAGCTGTCGTGATTGATTACCCACGGTTGGATGTGCGAGACGGGACAGCTTTTTTTTTTGTGGCCTCGTAGCATTTTCTTCATGTCGATTGCCCATCGAGCAGTTTCTCAGAATGTGTCTACTGGTGAACCATTCCCCCTCCAGTCCTTCTTAATGCTCTTTTGTAAAACTGCTCTCTTTATCACTCCATTTTTGTTCATGAATGTAATGAGTCTTGCACTCGGCTGATGTATAACTGATTCACAACTTTTGAAGAAGCATACTTGTTCATTTTTTTTAAAGCTAAACAAAGTCCRGTAGTCACGAGCATCATTAAAACCTTCTTACAAAAAAATAAAATATGCTTTTTCCTGTGTACAAACTGGCATTTATTGAGGAAAATGTGCAAATTAAAGTGCAGATTTTAGAGATCATTCAGTTTTTCACACAATAGTTGACTGTAGTTCCAGTTTAGATTTTTAAATGCTCTTTAAGAAAACAGGCATTGTACCAAATTATCTGTATGTCTGTCTGCTCACACTGATGGGGCTTAAAAATTATAAAGAACATATACGTGCCACACTAGGGCTGCCACAAATGATTATTTTAATAATCGATTAATCACCGATTATTTATTCGATTAGTCGACTAATCAAATCATACGTTAATTGAATATAAAACATAGAGCTTATCACGTCAGAATGCAGCTGCTATTATATAACCATGGTTAGAGTTTAGC